GCTAGTCGACCATCCATAGCAGTTAGTTGGTCAGACATGACAGTAAGTTGGCTGGGATGACGCCCTTGAAAACAAAATGTAAAATTCTGTCTCCCATGTCCTCCCTGGAAGAGTGTGATGCCTTCGAGGACATAATCCAAGACAAAAAATATCGGCCACAGTCGACGCAACTTCCGATCTACTCAGACATATGCCCTTTTGCAAGGTAGGTATCTTATTCCTATACATAAGCTTCCACCATGCAGATGTATTCCAAACGTGGAGTGAAGGCTGAAAAGCCAGCAAGGTGGAGTTGCAGAAGGCCGTCCTCTACGTACTAAAATAGGCCAACATCAATATGTGGCGTCATCCCAGCCGTTGTTGTTGGTCGCTGAAGCATACCTTTATCCAGCGCGGCTAGTCGACCAGCCATAGCAGTTAGTTGGCCGGACATGATAGTGAGTTGGCCAGTTAATTCTGTGGTCCATGGAAGCCATGCGGTTGGTTAGTCGGTGCTCCATGTCAGACATGGCGCCTTAAAAGGGTAGGTTCAGTTGGCCGTAGTAATTACTGGCTATGTAGCGTAGCCAATCGACATCAGATATAACGGTGTCGGTTTGTCCGCACGTGGCCCGCAGTGGAGGGGTTTCGGACGCTTTTACATCTGCATTTTTTTAAAATTTCACATGTAAACAACTTTAGATATTAAAGCGTCGGAAAGCGCTCCAGTGCCGCAAATGTTCGGACACAGCAGCACCGTATTGACCCATGTGCATTGGCAGCATTATTAAGTCAGTAAGTATTGCAGCTTACTACTACTAAATTTTCTTAGTTACCATGTCCGAAATGGAGCGCCGGCTTCAATGGGCCAGGGAATAAGTGACCAACTTACTGTCATGGCTGGCCAACTAACTGCTATGGATAGTCGACTAGCTGCGCTGAAGAAAGACGTCCTCCAGCGGCCCACATCAAGAACGGCTGGGATGACGCCCTTGAGGGCCGGGTGTCCAGTTCCGGCTCCCATGTCCTCCCTTGAAGAGTTTGATGCCTTTGAGGACAAACTCCAAGACGAGAAATATCGGCAGCAGGCGGTAGGACTACGGCCTGCTAACTAAAACTACGGCTAACTAAAACTACCCTTTACAGCCACCATGTCTGACATGGAGCACCGACTAACCAACCGCATGGCTTCCATGGACCAGAGAATATTTGGCCAACTTACTGCCATCGATGGTCGACTAACTGCTATGGATGGTCGCCTATTCGCGCAGGAGAAAGGTGTCCTTCAGCGACCAACAACAACGGCTGGGATCAGGCCCTTGAGGACAGAGTGCCCAGTTCCATCGCCCATGTTCTCCCCCAAAAAGTTTGATATCTTGGAGGACAAACTCCACCGTTTTTTGTAAGTCAGAAGGGACGCTGATTAAAGTCAGCTCTACTGCTACGAGGTGCACTGTCACTAACACTAATAACAATACAAAGTCTAGCAAACTGATAGTAATAGTGATGACAGTGTTATTAATATCTACATTGACAAGTTGTAATCAGAGTAGACATTTTAACCCTGTCCAACTGTACAATTTGGATTACCCCTGCATATTTGTTGGCCTCCAAATTATCAGCATTACTACGTCACCGCCAGACAAGTGCAAGCACGTGACTATATATCATCACCGCGCGTAAGAAAAGACCAGGAACCCTGTTAGAGAGCTTCGTAATGTTGAGCAAGTTTACGAGTTTCAGCACTAAATCATCTTATTGGCGGAAACGACAGAGTAGTCAGCCTGCATCAAATCTTGTTTATTTACGCCGGATGACATCAACGCTCATCAATCTGGGACCCCTGCGTCAAGCACGTTCTTCCATCAACCGACTGCATCGCTGAAGAGAATACTGAAACAGCCGACATCGTCTTTTAGGATAGAATTCAGAGTGCACGCGTGCTCGCGGTAGCGGCGGCGGCGGGTAGAAAGCACCGGCGGCCACGGTCTGGCCAATCACCTCCAAGGGTGACTCAGGCAGCACCTCACGACGCCGACTACCATGCTCACACACACTCCGGACACCGATCCTCTCACGAGTATTCCTACACTCGTCCAACTGTAAACTTCCCCCCAATATAGTATCCACTAGCTCGGCACAGAATATATAAGGCCTTCCAATTGGTGCCTCGTTCCTTCTCTTTCCCTGTGGAAACGAGCCTGAAGATCGCAGCCTGAATGGTGATAACTATTGACTCAACTCATTTCGATCGAGATAGTCAAAAAAGCAGACGTGACGCTATAAGGTGAACAAATTTGGGCAAACATAAGACTGTGTAGCGTTTTTAGCGCTACTCCGTACCCATGATCAGCTGCACATGAGTGTCCGCCGCATGCTGACTTATCGCGCCCCATTGCTGTTGATGTCGTGTCTTTCGAACCAGGCACAAACGTGCGCACCTTGCCCCGCCCCGTACAGGCCTCAATCCACGATGGCTTGATTTCAATTCGTCCAATGAGATTTCCGCTGTGGTACACTAGCCTCATTGGTAGGTTGGCTTCAATCGGTCTGAGCACTGACGACAATGCGGTGTCTGTCCCCAGAAATCACTTCGGGCCACGCCAGTCTAGTGGAAGGACGTGCGCTCCGATAATCAATACTTCCGCCTAACCATTCTCCGTTCCGTCTGTACATTATAGACGCTTCCTACCATTCTGTTCTTCCCATGACTTCTCTGATCTCCTACGGGACCGGGCCTGGGAGATCGCAGCCATTAGGGTTAACCTTATTAGTTTTAACACACACCTCGATAACTGGTGACCCAGGACATCAGATGA